AAAAAGAAATTTTATGCCGTTACCAAACGTATTTCTGTTCTTTTATTATTTCAGGAATGGAAATTTTGAGTCGTTACCAAACGCCTTCAAATGCTCAGAATCAGTTCCCGAGCACAGAATAAAAAAGAATCATTTCTGAACAGAATCAGTTCCCGGGCACAGAATCGTTGCCATGCGCACCCTAAATATGGGCTGATAGTTCATGAATGCAAAGGTCACAAAATTCGGCTGCGTCTCGGTCCTAGTAGGTATATCTCACTTCCACTAAACGGGGCTGTGCCACCTCTAACACTTCGGTGAAAACTATTATCGAACGAGAAAACTCGTTTATCATGGAAGAGGAAATTTTGGAGAGGTGAAATTTGATTCTTTCACGTGTTTACTGGGCGGATTGATTGGCTAATTATGATTTGAGCCGAAGCACACACCAAAGGATCTAGAATCACTATTATAAGCTGATCAATCTAGGAAGTTCTGATATTCGTAGAGTCTGTTTATGCAACTTTGGCTTTTGGCCCTCCTTTTGCTACCCGAGAAAAGATGTAACACAACCTTAAACTTTGCCTCATCGTGGATGAAGCTTCCTCTTAAGTAAGAGGTGAAATTGCTTCGTCTGAGGCCACGTTCGGATCTCGGCATCCCTTGAGCGTTAAACACAAAGAGGGTATTCCCTTTTCTTGGAGATGAAAAAGATTCAAATTAGGGAAATTGGGCATGCGGGTACCGGCACGTTAAATAAAAAAATGCAGTCATGTCAGCCCACCAGGTGTATATACTTAAACAGGCAGAGTGGCCCTAGTAGGAACTTCGGCTCTTGCTCATTAGTGAGGAAACATAATTAAGTACACAACGTTAATATCTGTCTTGAGACTTGAGTATAGCTTGCTTAATTAGCATAGAGACCCAAACCTGTCTCATCAAAGCAAACATCGAAAGTCACAATGCTAAGATTTCAAGGCCGGTAATTTGTACTGCATCTTAAAGAAGGGATTTTTGTCGAATCGATGAAAAAAAAAAGAAATCAACTCGTTACACACTTGCAAGTTTGATTAAAAGATGTGATGCTAAAAAAGAAAAATATGGAAAACGGTGTTGATGGAAGATAGAGGTGGTTCAAGCTTTGTTCAGCACAAATGGGAAGGTTTGATACATGCCTAACTTAAATATAGCAGCATTAGTCCTAACATCGTGTTTGGTCAAGGGAATTCTACGGGCGGACGAAGGATTTTAGACGCGCGTCTTCCTTGAATAGAGAAAAAGAGATGGAGGGAGAACAAAGGAAAGGATCGAACGGATCCATAGCGCGTGCTTCGAATCCTTCTGGATCCGTCCGAATGCGGAGGCGATTTGGGCGGAATCAATCGAATTCATATTGTCAATGAGTAATTGCTTCTCCCTTCTCGCTCGCATCGCTCGGTGCTTATGCATTTCTTTCCGTTCGTTGCCACAATATAACTCGATCGCTCATTCTTGTTTTTTGGCGAGGGTAGTTTTTCGAAGGGACGATGACACAAACAGTCCCTCAACTTTGGCCCAACGTGCAATTTGATCCTTGAACTTTTAATTTGTTCAATGTAGTCCCTGAACTTTAGTTTAAGATTCAATGTGGTCCATGAACTTTTAATTTGTTCAATTCAGTCCCCGAACTATATGAAAATGTTCAATGTATTTCAGGGACTGAATTGAAAATTTACCAAAAGTTCAAGGATGACATTGAACAAATTAAAAGTTCAGGGACTACATTGCACATTGGGTTAAAGTTCAAGGATTACATCGAACAAATTAAAAGTTATGGAATCAGATTATATATTGGGCCAAAGTTCATGGACTGTTTATGTCATTTATCATTTTTCGAACGGGCTTGGGAATGAAAAGGGTGCTCTTAGATTCGAGTTTAATGCGACTTTCATAAGCGCAATGCGTTACTTGACTTGGTTCGTGGGGGCCTCTCTTGTTTTAATGGGCCGATGCTGCAGCACATGATCGAGCAATATGAGGTTATAATGAATGAATTGGGCTTGGTCATGACATCCAAATGATTCTAATTGGAGGGCTCTCTCCGACCACTCTAATCGATGAATTTACAAGCACGGATATCGTTCGCGTTTAAGTTTGGTACGGTCTGCATGTAGGCGATGTTCATAATTCGTGAGCCGGCATGATTGGAGGGAGTTTCTCGTTGGAAGAAAATTCTGTAATTAATAAAAGTAAATCAAGATAGGTGTAGACTATACAAGTACCTCCTCTCATTTGATTTTGGAGTCTCAAGTGACTAAGGATGCCAAAAAACAGAGCACAGTTTTCACATCAATCATAGTTTTCTCTTATAAATGAAAAAACTGCTGGCTCTAACGACCCTCTTTGGATAGGCATTGTTGAAAGTTAACCAAAACGTCATCATACCACAGGAACAAACTGCGAATTGTAATGTCATGCTCGTGCGGTAAGTCATACATTGATTACTTTAACACTAGTTATGTTGCCCCGTGCTTTGCAAGGTTTTCTTCATTTTAATCAATGTAAATCAATGACCGATACATTACATAAATCAGAAATTATATGTCATTCGTTTTGTTAAAAGCAGTTCTCTGCCCATGCATTGCATGATTGTAATTTCCTCTTCTTCTTTTTCGGTAAATCGCGATTTTAATTTCGAGTTTCGTTTATTATGATTTGAACCTGTGCCTGAGATTTAAAAAAATATTTGCCAATATTCTCTTTTCATTTTGGTGAGATATTAAACAAAGAGCAAATTGATTAATATGAAAACGGCAAAGTAATATTATAGACGTACTACAGATTTCGAATGCTGAAAATCTACCCATCTTGCTGGACTTCAATTACAAGACCCATATGACCACAAAAAACAAAAAAAAGAAGAGAAATTAGAAGACCCAATATTTTTATTTTTATTTTTACCGAATTTTCTTTGTATTTATAATCATGGCCGTATAAAAAAAGAGATACTTTAATCTCATTTTTTAAACCATCTTTTGTTACTAACAGTTTTGTCCACATAGCGCAAATCCAATTTTAACCACAAGACAACCATACGAAAATAATTAACAGAAGACATGATTCAAGAGAAGATTTCCAATATCAAATTAAATTATGACAAGAAAGACCAAAATAAAAGATTAAAGAAAAAAATACAGCCGAGAAATGCCTTGACGACTTTGATCGAACAGTTGGTGGGCATTTCGATAGGACTGGCTTTTGCTAAAACTAATAAAATTCCAATCAAATATTTAAAATTCAAATTGTACAAAATATATCATAGGTTAAATATTATAGTTAAAGTTGAATCCATTTCAATTTTTTTTTTCGAATATCAATGTTAGATGAGCGGCAAATTGAGTTTTTTTTTTTATCCAACTCACGTAATCTAAGTAGGCGCCTTTAATTGTTTATTATTTTAATCTTTCCAAAAAAACTTTATCGATCAGTTTGTACTTGCTCATTAGTCAACACAACATAAATAAATAAATAATCGCAAGCAATGTCGCTCCACCTCTTGATGTTGAATTTTGGCAATACCGTGCAAGGGCATGCAACAGCTCCCTTGAACAATTAATTAGCACAATTAAGCAACATGTGTTTGAATAATCACTGATGACCTCTTCACATGTTGCATGAATCCATTTTGAACATTTTGGAAACGTCATGTGATAGGTAAGTGGGATTAGTAAGTTTTTCTTCTTCTTCTTTTTATCTAATCAATATGAAAAGAAATAACTTAAATTAATGTGAAAGGAACAGGGAATTATGGATCAGCTTTCAATCGCCAAAGATTTGGTGCCTAAGAGCAGATAGAAATGGGAGATGTTCAATCACGATCGGGGTCGAACCGAAACCCATCTCCTGGTCATAGTCACCAGGATCGGAGGGACGGCAGCGATCGTTCAAGCCAACCCACCGGGGTGCGAGAAGGGCGTTAATCGGAATAGGCTTTGGAGCGAAGAGAGATTCAGAGAGAGAACGGAGTTTTGCCATGAATCTTATTATTATGAATCTGGGATATGTTCACCGGAAGTCTCGCGAAAGTGCAATTGAGTCATAAAACTTGCAAAAAGTTCAATTAAGTCATAAAATTTGTTAAATTGATTCAAATGAGTCATAAAGTTAACACCGTCAAATTTACTAACGGAAAATGCTGATGTAGCTGTTTTAAAATTATTTTTTATCCTACGTGGCTTATTTTAATTTTTAATACTAATTTTATTTAAATTAAATTTTAAAAATAAGCTAAATAATTATAAATAAATAAAAAAGAAGAAGGAGGAGGAGGAGAAGACCCATGGCGGCAAGGGGCTATGGCCAAGCCCTCGCCGGTGGTCGCCTGGAAGGGTCACCGGTGGCCACCGGGAAGGGTCGACGACCCTCACCGGCTTGGGCGAGGCCCCGGCGAGGGCCTGCAGGCCTCGATTTGGGGGAGGGCGCGACCCTCGCCCCAGTTTTGAGTGAGGGCCGGCGACCCTCACTCAAATCTGGGGCGAGGGCCAACGACCCTTCCCCAAATCGGGGCCTGCAGGCCCTCGCCGGGGCCTCGCCCAAGCCGGTGAGGGTCGCTGGCCCTTCTCGACAGCTGTGGCGACAGCGGCCACTGGCGAGGGCTTGGCCACAACCCCTCGTCGCCATGGGTCTTCTCCTTTTTTTTTTTTTTAACTTTTAGCTTTTTTATCTAATTTAATCTATATTCTTTTAATTTTTTCTAATGTGATGCTTGTTGAATGTCACTCATTGCCACGTGCTTAAAAATAATAATAAAATAAGACACATCAACATTTTCTGTTAATCTAGTTAAACGATGTTAACTTTAGAATACGATTGAACCAACTTGACAAGTTTTAGAATTTGATTACACGTTTTACAAATTTTAGAACTTAATTGCACTTTGGTGACAAGTTTCAAGACTTTCTAGTGAACATATCTCTATGAATCTAAAAGAAAGCATCTAAAGATCAAACAAAATGCAAATTCGAAGGCAAGGGCGATACTGATGCAGCTCGAACCACACATCAAGATATTAAGCAGATCTTTTTAGTACAGTAAGAACTCTGCTAGGGACACAAATCCTCCGGTACACAAGTTATGCAGCTTGTATAGACTTTGGTTCCCCAGGAAATCTCATAGCACATTACACTGTATGCAGCTATTAAGAAGAGTGAAAAGGTGAAAAAAAGGAGAAGAAACTATCAAAGAGAACAGCTATTTAGCTTCTTGTTCCAGGAGCGGGACTTTCTTCCACGCCTCTTCCGGTCCGCTCAGCTGCAGCGGCGGCAACGAGAAGACGCTGACCGTCGAGCTGCCGCTCCGGATCTCTTTGAGGACTCGCAGAGCCGATATCGTGCTCTTCATGTATAAGCTCTTCATGTGCTCAATCTCGGCGAGTTCCTTGGGCACTCTGAGCATGCCGTCGGTGTCGGTGTCAGTGGAGACGGAGGTCGTGGGGTCCAAGCCACCGTCGTCGTCCAATCTAGCCGCCTCTGCCGAGGGTGGAGGAGGCTCGCTTGCAGGGAAGAGTTGGTCGATCATCTTCTCGCACTCCTTCACCAGCTTGTAGATCATGTCGGTGGTGAAGAACGGCTGCTGCAGGACCCGCTGGATGAAGGGCAGGCGGATCAGGGCTCCGGTCCTTTTGTCATACTTCTTCAGGATTTTCACCAGCCCTGTGACCACAAAGAAATCCAGAGACTTAGGAAACAATTTGAGGGGCTAATAGAAAGCGCAAATCAGAAGCCCCGTCGGGATAATCATCAGATCACAGTTTCTTTTCTTGATTTCGACCAAAAGGGAACCGATTATGATTCTGTTTTTGCTTGATCGGTAAACCGATAGCTCGACGGACACACACAGAGACCAGGGGAATGCCATAAGCAATTCAATTCCAGGAAGATGTTTAACTGCATCCTAGACTGGCCTGCAAATGGTACTACTTAGTACTAATCTAAAGCAGTCTGTCCGTTAAGAGAAAGTTATCGGGAAGCACTGTAATGACTCTTCTGAAACCAGCTATGCGACACAACTAAGTCTACCAGAATAATACGCAGCAATGGTGTATCCAAGGTTGCGGGTTGCTCGACAAAAATGAGTCGAAATGCATTCCGCATTACGCACATATTCAATTCAAAACTGAGAATGAGATACCTGTATAGTTGAGGGCACTGTAATTCTCTAACAAGACCATCTCCCCATGGAAATCGACAATCTCCTTCCTAATCTTGATCATCTCTTCATTGGAATCCTTGGCCTTTGCCATCCTATCCTGCAATTCCTGCGATAACCCACAATGCGAACATCAGTCATCAAACTACCCTTTAGTCTCCAGAGGTGGCACTCTAATCAGTACCACATCTCAAACATCTGAACAGGTACCGAACACTCAAAATTTTCCAAGCCATTTCACGGTTCTCTATATCCTAGATTTAACAAGCATTGTGCACTAGAGCCGGATACAAGTCCTTCTATAAGCATGATTTCTACAGCAAAAAAAAAAAAAAAAAAATCAATCGAATCGACGAGAATTTCGCCGCAATACAAGAACGACACGTGATACAATGGAAAGAGCGACGTGGCAGCGATTGATAGGCACGCATCGCGGATAACATTAAAAAAATAAATAAAACGAAGTTCGATTGGTCAACGCAGCATCTCTTGTGTCGGCTAATCTGTCGTCCCAGTCAAACGTCACGTCGCTTGACCACTAAGTAACCATAAAAGACGTATTCCAATTCACTTGGATTTGGATGATGATCCCAACAACACCCAACTTCTTCCAAAGTAGCCCCAATGCTCATTTACCACACATGGCAACTAAGTGCGTCATACACAATATCACTATACGTGATCCGATCCGAACTAAATGGTCACGTGGCGCTACAGATGACAGACAAAAAAAAAAATTACCGTTAGGCGCGAATAAAGCAAGATAAATTCATCATGGATTCGCAGAATCTCTCGTGTCGACTAATCCGTCATCCCAGTCAGCTCCACATTATATATTAATTAGCACGTGTAATGCAGTATATGCCTTGACAATCTAGCGAAATATATACTTTAACTTAAACATAATCGCGACAGATGACAAACAAAATTTTTTTTTACTGTTAGGCGCGAATAAAGCAAGATAAATTCGTCACGGACTCCCAGAATCTCTCTTGTCGGCTAATCCGTCATCCCAGTCAGCTCCACATTATATATATATATTAATCAGCAAGTAATGCAGTATATGCCTCGACAATCTAGCGAAATATATACTTTAACTTCAATCATAATCGCGACGCCCCCACGTGATTTCGTACCTCAATCGTACTCGATCGTACCATGCTACCTAGCAACAAATTGCACAATCCCGGACCAAGTCGCACGTGCCAAGACGCGCCACGCGACGAATCCGACCCCACCGAAGCCGATTTGAGGGCATATGAGTCACGGCATTCCGTCGACTAATCTGTGGTCCCGGTCAGCTCCACGTTATATATTTTTTAACCTTACTATATTCGAAGTACCATGACCACTAAAGTGCGTCGTTCCAAATCACGAGGTAATTCCACGTTAACGTGAACTTTCTAAAGCTAGAACTTACCCGAGGAAGTAAAAACTGACACATGGAATTTTCGGCATCATCATGTCAAGTGTCAACTAGAAGCGAAACGCGAGCGCCGTTCGTAAAAGCGGATTTCCCCGGAAACGACGTCGTCCCGGGAGGGGGCGAGATCTCGGACGGTTGCGAAACGATCGCGTCCGACGAGACGGATGGAAGGGGAACGAGCGAGCAGGGGGAAAAGGGGGTGCCCGGAATCGGCGGGGAATCGGTGCGCCGCCGATTAAAGCGAGCGCGCGAAGAGGAGACGGACAAAGATCCGATCGGAAAACGGAAGGAGGAAGCGAAGGAGTACCTTCAATTTGATGATGTACTCCTCCTCCTTCTCGACGAAGAAGGAGTTGAACTTCTCCAGCTCGTCCTCCAGCAGCCGGATGAACTCGACCACCTCGTTCGTCATGCCCTCGCCGGCCCCCCCGGCGGCGGCGGGGGCGGGCTCGGCGCCCCCGGCGGAGGAGGAGGAGGAGGGGGGCGCCGCCGGCGCCGGCGGAGGCTCGTCGAGGCGGGGGCGCTTGGCGGGGCGGTCGCCGCCGCCCTTGGGGTCGATGAGCTTCAGGCGCTTCTTGAGCTCCTTGTAGGACAGGAACTTCTCGCGCCACTCGGGCAGGGTCTCCTCGATCTGGATGCTGAGGCTCTTGCCGAATTTCATGGCTGGTGGCTGCCTTACTGCCCGCCTGCCCGCCTGCCCGCCGGTGGTGGTGGTGGTTCCCCTGCTCGGCCGGCGATGAGGGAAACGCGTGAGGGAGGGAGAGAGAGAGAGAGAGAGAGAATTTCTTCGGCAAAAGAAGGGGAGGGAGATGAGAGGGGAAAGGCGGAGGTGGAGGAGAGGGGGACTTTAATGGCGGAAGAAGGCCAAGAATATTCGTTAATTTGTGCCAGGAATATCCGGCCATTTGGTTTTTCTAAGTGTTAACATCTCCTCCCTCCCCTCCCTCCCCTCCCTCCCTCCTTTTTCTCCCCAAAAATATTACTTAAATCTTCCCGTTCCTTTTTTTCCACCCTCTCGAAATTGCCCGGACCCGTCCGAGACCGCCACGTGGAAGGCGGAGACGCGTTACCTGGATTAATTCTTCTTTTCTCAATTAATATCACGAAAATCTCCAGACCGATACATTTATGATAAATTTATCAAAAATTAATTTACCATAAACTTGTACACACGTGGCAAATTTACCACGAACTAACGACCATCGAAAATCCCGTTTTTGGTTATTTTGGAGGTAAATTTATCATAAATATACCAGTTTTGGATTTTTTTAATGTATTAACTCTTTGTTTTTCCTATTTAGCTACTTAATTAGTAATTATCTGTAGTGCTTCTATTAATAAAATGATTTCTTATTTTATTTATTTATTTATTTATTATGTAGTGCAGTGGCTCGAGATCGTGGCTGGTTTGGCGACAGGTGAAACGGGGGGCCGGAATGAGCTGATGAGGGAGAGAAGTCAAAAGTATATAACCGTCCTCGGGGAGAAAAAGGCGACCCCCCATCGCGGGGGGGGGGGGGGGACTCGACAGGTAATTCTTATATTTCGAGTGGCCATAAAATAAAATTTGCTCGCCGGGATCGGTTCTGCAAAAAAAAAAAACACAGAAAATCCCGGGGTCCTTTCGCCGTTTTTCCAGTGACGTCATCGGCCCGAAATATGACGCGGCCCGAGGTTAAAAAAAAAAGGGGGAGAGAATAATAGAGCGAAGGGGCGAAGATGGGATTTCGCAGCCCCCCCGCGCGGGGGTGTCGCCGAAGCCGTAATGCTAATTTTGCGCGATCGATTTTTTTTGTACGTTTTTTTTTTTTTTTTGGAGGAGAAGCTCGGACAGGTCAGCCAGCACCCGACACTGTTCCGAGACGACAAAGATTTTACGTTTCGAGTATCATCAGTGCGAGCACTGAGGATGCTTTGTGAAGCGCGCGAGTGTATCGCGGGATCTTCCGGGGTCAAAGCATGACGCGACAGGCTGTGCCGAGATACAAGAATGTACAACTGTACCGAACAGATACGGTCCCGTACGAAAGCGACTGTCGGCACGCGGGCGGGCCCGCCGCCGCCGATGCCGCGAGCCTCGGCTCGGGTTGGCTCGAGCGGGGATCGATCAGGTTGGCGCGCGGCGTAAGACAAGAAGACGATAACGAACGGCTTATTATCTGAACCAGTCGATACTGCCTGTGCCGTCCATCTTCGCATTTTCTTATCGCGCGATTTTTCACTTTCCCCGCCGTCGCCGATTGACGCTTTTGCATTGGAGGATTTTGGATGCGCGGTGGTAACTACAAAAAAGGAGCTCCCGAAAAGAGCGTGGTAAAAAAGAGGTTGTAACTATTTCTTCTTTTTCGGAAAAAGCAGAAAAAGCGGAGGACCGAGCTGGAAAAATGAGAAAGCGGCTAAGCCGACAGTTTGGCCGGCGGCTCGAACGAGATGGGCCGAGCCGCGCCGAGCCGAGAGCGGGACCCTCTTGGGTCTTGGCATATTTATGACGCGTGGTATAATCCCAAAAGAATCTGGAATATCCATCCCGCACCTCATCTCTCTCTCTCTCTCTCCTAGTTAAAAAAATAAATAAATAAGTAAGTAAATAAATAACCCCCCAAATTTTACTTGGTACGGGGCACATCTCACCCCATGTGATCCCCGTAACAGACGACAAAGACCACGTCGTGAACTCTCTCTTAACGCTTAAACACGATTTAATGGAAAAAAAAAAAAATTTGTCCGCTATTGTTTCACCGGATCGACCCTTAATCAAATACCTAAAAACAAAAAAATTAAAAAAAATGCGAAAAAATGCCGCCCTTCGGCGAAACAATGGGGAGAGATATTTTCTTTCATTGATTCGATTGCTTAGCTTAACAATGTGAGCACGACGAGCTTTTGTTTTCGACGAAATTCGGACGACGACGACGACGACAAAAAAAACACAAATAGATAAGAAAAAGAAAAAAAAACAACAAGAACAACAAAGTCAAATGGGAGATGGAGGGGTAAAAAAAAAGAGCCGGGGAAGCAAGGAAAAGTCTCCCCCGCGGGGGTGGGAGTGGGGGGCGGCGGGCCCCGCGCGCGCCTGACACGTGGAGGCTTCGGAGAGTTCCACGAGTACGGAGCATAATCCTCGGAAGATTCGGATATGCCGCTCGGATATTCTCCTCCCCCCGCCCGTCCTCGATTTTCCAAATCCCCCCCTTTTCATTATTATATTATTATCATTATTATCATTATTATTATTTCCCCGACCTTTTTCCCAATTTTCCGGCACGACACGTTCCGCCGCCCCCCTCCTTCTCAGGCCGCCGCCGCCGCCCCCTCCTCCTCTCGCTCCGCCGCTCCCCCGCAGCCGCCGTGCCGATGGGGGCGAGCCACCGAGCGGTCCGAGCGGTCTCCGGAGAGTCAATTGAGTCGTGCTTTTAGTTTCCGTTTATTATCGTTTTTTCGAAGAAAATAAATAAAACAAATGGTGGGGGTTGGGGGGGCCCACGGGTTCCTTCAAATCTTTGTTTCAACGACATTAATTTGATGCTCGGGTAGATTCGCAGATTCCTCCGAAAAGAAAAGTCGCCGTCGGCGCGTGCGCGTCAGATCATAACGGGTCGAGCTGGTGGGGCTGACCCCTAGATTTATCCACGGCTCGGCTCCGCCGGCTCGGGTGGCCCGGCGATTGTACCCGTAACCCGAAAGCGAGTTACCGGGCCCCCGCCACGCTGGCACGGCGCCGCGCCCCCCTCCCCCGGTGGGCCGGGGGGCGGGGCGCCGCGCCGGGGTGGGCCTGGCCTTTTGTAAGGCCGTTTTGGCCCCGCCCTTATCAGGTACTTCCGTCCTACGTTGACCCACTTCGCAAGGATCGTTAGATCACGCGGATGAATAAAATATAACGAGAAGTCGGGTTAATTTATAGAGGTCGCTCTTTATTTTTTTTTTATGTATCATAGGACTAAACTTGAGTTAACAAAAAAAAAAGCACCCCCTTTTAACTTAAATTACAGAAAAAGGGAAAAAAATTACGGAGGAATGCGAAGGTTCCAACGCTCTGATTAACGATTTTTCGTCACACAGGGTGATCGAATGATTACATTACGAGGTTATTTAGCTGAGCAATCAGAACCGGCAATATTTTCAAGCCATGCGACGTAGAAACTAAGATAATGAAATATGACCCCCAAAAAAGAAAAAAAAAACTGACATAATGAAGGACCGTCACCGCCGCGACATAGATTTATGAGTCGTTCGTCTAATTTAAAAGATTACGAGACTCGAAGTAATCTATAAAACCGTAATGAAATCTTTTTATTTTATTCGGTTGGCATAGCTACAATCTACCTATTATGGACAATTACTCCAATCCAAAAGCCTCTTTTAGCCTCACATATAAATTATCGTTCAATACGAATAAATTTCTTATGAAATGATACTAACAAGATCGTCTAGCTAAGCAACGAAGAAACTAGTATAACAAAGGACGCGACGCGATTTTATGAGTCGTTGTTTACCTACGCAATCTAAAACCGCCGAGAAATAAAATATCGTAAAAATCATAATGAAATGTTTTTTTATTTTATTCATTTGACAGAGCTACAATCTATCTATGATGGACAAACACTCCAATCCAAAGCTTCGTTTTAGTCTCACATAATTTTTTCCTCGTTCGACACGAATAATATTCTTATAAAAATGATTTTTTTCGGGTCAACTTGTTCGTAATTTAATTTTTATGGGAAAATATCCTTCAGTATATCTGCAAACAAGGATGTGCATGATAGAAATAAATTGAGAACCCTCCCTCGTAATAGATGATCAAATGAGGTATGGATCGCTCGTTGACCGGACATCTTCAATAGATTTCAAACTTTGCAGTAAACACTAAATATATTCTCATAAATTATTATTTAAGTTGTCCTATGTTCCTTTTCCTTCAAATTTTGAGGACTAGGAGAGAAAAGGGTGTAATTCCCTTCAAAGCGCTAAATCGGGTCTTAATTCTGGTCTAAACTTGTTATAGTCTCGTAAAGCGATACCAATTTTAGTTAGGGTTCATATTCTGGCCCGTATTTTTGTCTTTTTGTCTCGTAAAAAATACCGACTTTAGATCGAGTCTCAATTCGTACCCAAATCTTCTTCTTCTTTCTTTTTGTTCTCTTACAAAAGACACAAACTTTCATTTGGTACCCAAATTTGGCCATCATCAAGTTTCTGCCCGATGACACCGTGTCGTTCCACTTGTACTTTGCACATCACTATGCAAGACAAAAAAAAAAAATTTGAGTAACATACAATGAGAACTCGACAATGGCCAAATTTCGGTACAGACTAAAAGTTTGTGTGTTTTTACATTAAAAATAATTGATCTAGAATTGGAATATGAGCTAATATTGTTCATATATTCTATACAATAAAAAAAAGAAGTCCGGATGAGAATTGCGACCCGAAGTAAAATTGATGCTCTTAAAGGAAATTAGGGGGAAAAAAGTTGTTCCTAGTAACCACCGTTGGATCTTCTTGGTTAAACCGTCAGATACATGGCACTGTTTCTGTCACCCCTTTGGACGATTTGCATCGAAGCACCCGTTGCGACCGGCCCGATCCAGTCTGATACCGTCACTGTACACCACCCGACCGACGATGGAGCCGTCGCTTCCTCCGATGGCCTCGGACTCCAGCACGGGGCCATGAATCCTCGGACTCTGCTCGGCCACGGTTCTTGCGAGCGGCATCTTCCGTGCCGCCGCACGGTTCATCATCGCGAGGTTTCCGGCGATTCTTCGGCGGGGGGCGGCTTGCCCCGACTTTGCCACTTCTCGACCCGCCAATGTCACTCTCGGACCCGCCATCCAGGACCACGCGATGGATCCCGCCTGATCAAGCTCAACGCCCAAAAACGGGCCTC